GGTCAAGACACCGGCCACCGGCGGCGAGATACGCCGGGACTGCTGGTTCCCGAACTAGTTGCTAGTTAATCACGCCGGTAGTGCTCCCGCGACGCATTGAAATGAATATGAAGCAAATAAATGGAGTCCGTACGCAAGTTGATAAGTTGCCACATAACATTTTCATTGGTTCATGAGTCTGCAAGTTTCGGACGACAATATTTGTTCGACATAAGTTCGACATAACTAACTAAGTCCCAAGAGTGTAAGGATCCCTCGGACGCCTCTGTCTCTTCGGATTTGTAGGCAACACATTGGGAGTGTAGCCAACGTCGGTGTGGTCGCGTTGCCGGTGCGTACGGCTCGTACCCTGCAAGTATATGATATGCACAATTACTTATAATCTTTATGATCGTTAGTTTATGGAGCCTACGTATTTAAAGAAACTACCTTTGTTACTACCTGTGAGGCTCCTTGGGTACCAAGCGGGGCACCACCTAGCTGAGACATGCCGATCTCGTTCTGCAGCCAATCATCCCACTGGTGGTGCTGTCTGTGGAAGCCCGGGGGTCGTCATCATCGTCGTCGGCATCGTCGTCCTCGTCTGCAGGGTCCTTCCCAGCGCTATAATGTGGTGGTGTACGCACTGCGAAAATGACACTTGTCACCGCCTGAGAAGAGCCGGCTGGTGTCCTCAAAAAGCCAGAAGACGTGCCACCCGACCGCGCTGGGATTGTCGGTTCCACCCAAGGAGTGTCCATGCAGGTCAGCTTCTGAGCTAGCTTCCTGCAGCTCCGCTTCACCTTCTGCATAAATAGACATTAAAGTTAGTGCATTTCCCAAACGCATATACACTAAAGAAATATTTTCGGAACAGAAAAGTTTATGTTTACCTCTATAAAAGCTTCGAGAACGCCTAGCCCCTGCCCTCTAGACTCATGAAGCTGAAACGCTGCTTTGTTGGACAGCCTTGACAATTGTGTCGCCTGGGTACAGAAACGCGGTTGGATAATTTTAGTACACATACTTAATACCAAATGGATAACAAATTGTACCATTCGAGTATCTTACCATGTATCTTTGAAGCGGGGCTCTCTGTAGTTGTGTGTCATCCCTAGTGACAACGTCGTACACATCTTCGATCACATCTTCCTCGTCGTCCTCGTCAATCGCCTCCTCAGTGTATGGGGGCTTGATATGTGTCCTCGTAGACATGTGAAGCCACCGCAGTACTCGTCGAAGGTGTACTAGTCGTGTGGGGGACCCGCATCGACCGGCTGCCGATCCCTGTTCTGCCACAACTGGATGTACGCGTTGTGTGTCACGCGCCAATCCTTGGTCTTGTGCCTCTTCCTGGGGTCATACCTGTAACAAAACGATTGTTAGTTATACCATATAGACCTCTGAATTGTAGCTTTGTTATTAATCGATAACGCACCCGTACAATTCGTGGTTGGTGGAGTAAAGCGGTGGTGGGTAGCCTGTCATTCTTTCAAACTGCCTACAAATCCTGATGGGCAAGTGAATCTTGACCACGTGGAAGAAAATAAGAGGGACGTTGCAGCGATACTCATCTGACTCATCCCTAGTAATAGGACTCATATAGTACTCGAGCTCTGGAGCATCCCAAGGACACCAATGCACCTGAATATTTCGTAATTGAGTTAGGTTGTGATATAGTGTACATCGAACAAGACACATATATGATAGTAAAAGAGCGTAACCTAGTGCTGTGTCAGGATGTCGAGACCGTCCGTGTACTCCCTATACTTGCGCCTCGCATTCCCTCTAACTAATTCTGCTTGCGTCTAGATATACAGAGCTGTAGAGAGTGTATCATGCCCGTTCCAATGCTGTATTGAACACGATAATGAATTACCCCTTAATAATTTAATCATATGTAACTGCCTCGAAGAATATAGTGAACCGAAGTACTTACCGGTAAACCAGTAGCAAGGGGCCTCCCAATGGGCCATCGTTCCCAACACCAAACCTGGAGTAGGTAGGAGCAACCCCCAAGGTTCGTATACCTTGAGGTGCGATGGCAGACAACGCATAGTTGTCGATACGTCCATGCCAGGACTGCGCTGCCCCAACTATACGTCGCTATGTTATCCCAAGGCTGGCGTAGTATGTCAAGAAAGATAAAGCTGATGGTGTTGCCCGAGGCGTTTGGGAATAGGAAATCACCAATGAAGTGCCAGAGCCACACTCTAGCGAACCTGTCGATCTGAGCCTCATCAGCCTGTGGGTCTAAGTAATCAAAACGCTCTGTGATCCACGACGATGAAACACCGGAACTTTTCCTGAAATTCACCAAAGAAAATGAGACCCGATGGCTGCAGGAAAGCAATGCAAGTATTAAATAGGCTTGAATTGCTCACTTATTTTTCTTGGAAACATCGTCGTCCGGTGGAAGAAAGCCAGTGAACTGAGCCACTAGCTCCCTCCAGTGATCGTTGTCAACTATACCTGTCACTGGAAGTCCACCCAACCGAAGGCCAAAGATAGTCTTCACGTCCTGCATGGTCAAGGTCATCTCGTCGCAAGGTAGGTGGAACGTGTGGGTCTCAGGCCTCTACCTGTTATAAGAATAGAACGACTGTTAGTTGTCTCAAATTTGTTATAAGAATGTTTACGTACAATGAAGGCACTCGCACCTGTCTACAGCTGCAGTAAGTAGTGCTGGGTCAAGGCGGAAGACCGTAGTTGACAACACGGACAAGCTCGAGAAAGCCGGCACGCCATATGTACGGCGCGTAATGCTCGTCCCACTGGTGCGTCCTGGTGTGCATGCGGGGCCTCAAAGGAGGCAAGGGCACCTCTGTGTCGGTGTCACTCAAGAAGTGTGCTCGGTGTGGCTCGTCGTACTCCACCTCAAGAAGGGGGTACAACGGGTGATGCGTGGGAGGGGCCATCATATTACAAATTGATAAACAAAGAGTTAGAGTATTCAAATTAACGATATTCAAATTAATATTATGTAGCATTATAAAATTTGAACTACTTGTTATGTAATAGGAACACAATATGAAAGCACATGTATATATTCAAAGTAACATTAACAGACATATTAAACAACTTCACTAGAAAAATAAGCAACTTCTATGTATGGACCTACTGTCCACCAATGTTTTTATGAGAAATGTGAGATAGCTTGGATAGTCATAATTTTACCTCCTTGGGGCCTGCTCGTTTGGAGAAATTCTGGAGAAATTTAGATGGTTTGGAGGAATGCTGGAGGAATTTATGAGAGAAAAACACTGTTCCGGATGAAAAAAGAAGCAGATCAAGCCGGGTTTAAGGGCACGCGAACAGGGCCTTGGTCACTAAGTTTTACGATTTGTGTATGCTAATAGTAGTACAATATCGACAATGTTGTGCATGATTTTAGAAGTTCTAGTGCTTTTCAATATATGCTTGAGTAAAATGATCATTCGGATTAATGTTTCCATATAAGAAAACAAGCATATAACAATTTCAATCTAAAAACACTCAACAAACCAAATTTGTCACTATATATATGTATGTCTAGTTCACAAAAAAACACATAAATAGATTTATATTTCACGTGTCTTTTAATTAAACATTTGTTTTCGCTATAATTAATAATACACTGTAAGAAATTTAACAATTAAAGTATATAAATAATAATACAATATAAGATAAATTAACGGCTAAAGTATATATTAAAAGAATCTCTCAATCTAATGGCTAACGATTAATATAAAGGGGTAGTGAAGGTACGAGGGTTTTGATTATGAAGAAATTGGCACCAAACTTCACCTCAGTGAGCGTTGAACTGTAGTGAGGGCGTCCGTGGCGCGGCGGGTAGCCGGCGTGCGTGACCGGAGGGCGTGGCGGGCCGCCGGAGGGTGGCGCCGTTTCGCGGGCGCGCCGACGCGGCCAGCCGACGACGCGACGTCGCGCGGCGCGACGCGCGTGGCGTCTCTTGGCAATGGCGATAGGGCGCTGTGGCGCGGGCAGGAGAGAGGGGAGGGCAGGCGGCTCATGTGACGAGAGGAGGGCGGCTCATGAGGCGATATTTACTGGTCCCGCCGCGTCGTGGGCGTGGTGGCGTCCACGCTGCAGCGTCAAGATTGGTGGCGCAGCAGACCCTACCATGTCACCGGTCAGTGCTCCGGTCATCGCCATGTCACCTCTCTCGCCGCGTCACCATGCATGGCGCGGCACAGGCTTTTCGCCGCGCTATGTCAATAGACGCGACTAAACATGTTAGTTTAGGAAAAAAATTAAAAAAATGTTAGATTTAAAATTAGTTTAAAAAATGTGAAAAATAAAAAAATTGGCTCCTCACCGGTCTCTAAAGGCCACTTCACCTCCGTTCATTGTTTTATTTTTCTATTCTTTCTGGTGACACGTCAGGCTGGCGAAGTCGCCAGTGCCACTGCGGACGCGGCTGTCCGGGACCGCACCCAAACTTAAAACAGGTGTACGACACTATTGTCGACTGACTGCTTTGCACTAGCTGAAATCAAACAAGCGAACGTAATGATATGTAACAGAGAAGATCCATTTTAGATGCTATCAGAGATATAATCTAAATCTGAATATTTTTTCTACTATAGATTTATTTATAGACAATATTGTCTTTTAGGTGTTATTGTTAGAGAATATCAAAATAGGTATTGAATTGTTCGTATTTAACGCTATATAAATATAGATTTATTTATAGACAATATTGTCTTTTAGGTGTTATTGTTAGAGAATATCAAAATGTATTGAATTGTTCGTATTTAACGCTATATAAAGAAGGAGTAGGTCTTCTGTTTGGAAGTCTGTTGGGACAGCATTGAGCTCTTTCCGCAGGCTGCAGCAGTGTGTATTCCTTGCTTCCCGCAATCCAAAGCTGCCTCCTTTTCTCAGCTCCAAATCCGCGACGTTTTCGTCCATTTGGCAGTCTCGCTGGTGCTTGTCAAGCTCTAGGATCAAAGCCTGACCCCCAAATTCCAGCACCAAAATCCCATCTTTTGCTTGCTGGTGATTCCGTGGCCAGTCCGATGGGGACGCTCGGGGACAGGCTGCGGGCCTTCTCCACGAACCGGTGGCTGGTGTTCGTCGCCGCAATGTGGCTGCAGTCCATGGCCGGCATCGGGTACCTCTTCGGCAGCATCTCGCCGGTCATCAAGGCCGCGCTGGGCTACAACCAGCGCCAGGTGGCCGCGCTCGGCGTCGCCAAGGACCTCGGCGACTGCGTCGGCTTCCTCGCCGGCTCGCTCTCGGCCGTGCTGCCGTCGTGGGCGATGCTGCTCATCGGCTCCGCGCAGAACTTCCTCGGCTACGGCTGGCTCTGGCTCATCGTCACCAGGCAAGCGCCGGCGCTGCCCCTCTGGATGGTGAGTTCGTCTTTTGCTTTTTTCCTTGTTTATTATGGGATGGGAATCCTTTGCTCCGTTCAATGGTTGTTCGTGTTGTGAACAGTAGAACGATTCGGATTGGCCTTTTTGTTTATGAGGAATTAACTGCTCTTGGTCATGAAATCTGAAGATTACAGGAGTTACTACCAAATTACAGCACAAGTAGTCAACTTGTTGGCTGTCAAATTGTTCTGTTCCCCAGTGACAAAACTCGATCTGTTTCTATTTGTGCTGTGAACTGCTCATTTGTTTATGGAATTGCCAAGTAGGTGGGCCTAAGATGTGACCTGGTGATTAAAATTAAACAGCTGGACTGAACCAGCTGACGAACGAGTGGATCGTAGATCAGATCAAGTGCAATGATGACTTTTCTAAGCACGTTTAGTTTACTTCTGAAATTGACCAATCAAATCACATGAGTGTACTGCTGAGGGTATATTCGTTTTTAGTGTCCATATTTAGGTTGTCGTTGTCACTAATGTTGGGCCATGTGCACAGCGTTTTGTAATTTTAACAGTTGCGTAACTATTATGAATTGAGAAATTTTATATCGACAGTAACGGGTTGCTACCTTTTCTCAATTTCAAGTTGTTATTCATCAAGAAATTGTGCCGTGGATTTTTTTTTTTTAATTCAGAAGTAGGCTGTTTCTATGTTTCTGTTGTAGCAGAAACTCTCCCTCGTTCCTTCCTTCTCCTGCTTGGTTGTCAAAATAGTCTAGCCATACTTCCTCAACCTAACTTTGTGTTGGTTGGCAAATGGGAATGATGCAATGCAGCCATTTTGCTGTAGTTGCATTTTTTGTTCATATTTTACCATCATCTTAGATCTGTAAATCTATCCACTTTTGCATTGTATGTGTTCAGGTTTGCAGTATATAGCAGTATGGGCTTCTCAAATTACAATTGACTGACTAATCCCGTTGCTATCTGCATACCAACTTATGTGGAGAACATGGCACACACATACCAAACTATGTGGAGAACATGTGGAGTTTTCTACTCTCTGCTAGCAAATATTATGAAACTGTGTAGTTATATGGCTTTATTTTCTGCGGCTAATTGTAATGTTTCACTGTTGTTTATTCAGATGTGTGTTATTATCTATGTTGGGACCAATGGCGAGACATTCTTCAACACAACTGCACTTGTTATATGCATCCAAAATTTCCCCAAGAGCAGAGGTCCAACAGTGGGTATTATGAAAGGATTTGCAGGCCTTAGCACTGCAATCTTGACACAACTGTATGCAGTAATGCACACACCCGACCATGCAACACTTGTATTCATGGTTGCAGTCGGTCCATCATTGGTTGCCATTGGCCTGATGTTTATTATTAGGCCCGTTGGAGGTCACCGCCAGGTGCGTCCATCCGACAAGAACAGCTTCTTGTTCATCTACACTATCTGCTTGCTCCTCGCCTCATATCTTGTCGGCGTCATGCTAGTCCAAGATTTCATGCAACTGAGTGACAATGTGGTTAATTTTCTCACTGTGGTTCTACTCATACTTCTTGTTTTACCAATTGTGATCCCTGTGACCTTGACACTATCGTCCAAAACACAACATCCAATTGAAGAGGCTCTCCTTTCTGAACCATCAAAAGGAGAGACAAGCACTTCACAAGAGAAAGAGGATCAACCAGAGGTCTTTTTAAGTGAGGTGGAAGAGGAGAAGCCTAAGGACATTGATTCATTACCTCCATCTGAAAGGAGAAAGAGGATCACAGAGTTGCAGACCAAGTTAGTGCAAGCTGCAGCAAGTGGTGGGGTTAGAATCCGGAGGCGACCACGCCGAGGGGAAAACTTCACCCTGATGCAGGCATTGGTGAAGGCTGATTTTTGGCTTATTTGGTGGTCGCTCCTACTTGGATCAGGATCAGGTCTGACAGTGATCGACAATCTGGGTCAGATGAGCCAGGCTGTTGGGTTCAAAGATGCGCATATTTTTGTGTCATTGACGAGCATATGGAATTTCCTTGGTCGTGTTGGAGGTGGCTACTTCTCTGAGATTATTGTCAGGTATTGACACTGACCTATCCACCACTGTTTGTAATTGGAAAAAGGGTCTGCTATTGTTGTTTGGCATCATAATTTTTTCACCAATACGAAAAGCTTTTTCTATTTTGTCAAGTCTAGGCTGATGTGCTTTACTTCGATTCAGTTATTCTGGATATCAGTATGTTAACATTAGAGGTTTAATCCACAGCGGGTATTATTTTTGTTGGAACTTGGAAGTATGAATGAATTGTCCGTCTTTCCCCATCAGCTAGCTTTTGCATTGAATTGGTCGGTGCATGCAACTAGTAAATTGCAATTCTTCTACTTCCAGTTAATTTGTTCACCTTGTAACTATTGTTTAGGTTTGATAAAGCTTGAATTATTCCTTTGTGCATATCAAGTTTCAGAACTGTTAATATCTTGATTTGATGTTCTTCTAATCAGGGAACACACATACCCAAGGCACATAGCGCTGGTAATTGCTCAGATCCTGATGGCTGTTGGGCATTTCCTCTTTGCAATGGCTTGGCCTGGAACTATGTACATCGGAACCTTCCTGGTTGGACTCGGATATGGAGCTCATTGGGCTATTGTGCCAGCTGCTGTCTCTGAACTTTTTGGCGTAAAACACTTCGGTGCAATGTACAACTTCCTCACAGTAGCAAACCCCACAGGGTCACTCGTCTTCTCAGGCCTTATTGCTAGTAATTTGTATGACTATGAAGCTGAGAAACAAGCACAGCGCCATCAGATAACAGCATTGACATCTCCAAGATTGCTTCACAACATGGGTTTTCTTGCAGATGGACCACTGAAGTGTGAAGGAGCTGTTTGCTTTTTTGTCAGCTCACTGATTATGTCAGCGTTCTGTGTTGTTGGAGCTGGCTTAAGCCTCATGGTTGTTTACAGAACCAAAAGGGTTTATACTCACCTCTATAGTTCAAACCGCACATGAAACTTCCATGGATAGGATATGTCATTTCCTCTTGTTGTTCCATGTACCATAAATTTTGCATATATGTGTCATATACACACAAAATTAAAGTTTGCCTGTATATTCTCTAATCATTTCAGAGGTTTTACCACACGAATTGCTGTTCCCAAATATAAATTTACACGCCTCGTGTCTGGATAGCCAGGCTGTAGTTCAAGCTTGGACCATGAATTCTGTAATAAAGGCTTTGTACTAAGACGTACATGTCCATTCAGCTCCGGCTCTACTGTAATTTTCTTTTATGTGCATAATAGAATCTTCTATGATTCTGTCAAATCTAGAAGCTCTAGTTGTTATTTTGTTGTTTTTCTTTTGCGATGTATCAACTTGTTACCAGTAATTCTTGCTTCCTGCATAGCTTTCCTGTATGCTTGGTTCTATATAAACTGTACTTGGGAACAACGACCTGAAGAGACAAGAATCAGGATTGTTACATTGAGCATCAACTTGGACCATGGAGTGCTTCCACTCTTGTCGAATTGTGTTATCGGAGCTCCAAACTTACCAGGTATGTACAGTTCCTCTGAACTGTTTCCATTCTGAAGCTGGAACACACAATGGATTATAAGTTCCAGTGCATTTTGCAATACTAGGCATATCTCTGTTCTTATACATATTGCCGTTACTAGCTGCTGATGAACATCATGGTCTTTTGCAGAAGTGCTACAGTAACCTCAGAAACACCCACTGCTTGGCATTTGCTCTGACTGAAAAATGATGATCCCTATCCCTTTTTCTTCCTGAGCTTCTAAATGTAACATTTACCTAAGTGATCTTATTTTCTTATGAGATCTGTGTGGTCTTCCCACTCAGCTGAAGGATCAACACTGGCTATTTAGAATCTAAACTAGTTCCACAGCTGTACACTGTAATATTAAGACTCAGCCTCTGGCTGCTAATTGGCCAACAACTGAAATGTTTGAACAGGATGAGAAGGACCTACTTGCTCAGTTCTATTTCTCTACACCTGGTCACCCGCATCTCTGAATCATCTCCTACATTTTTCTTGAGCACTTTTCACCTTTTGGTCATTGGGTGAGTAGCTCTCTTTAGCAATTCCAGCTCCAACTCTTCAAGTTCATCCCTAAGGGGCAACAAGAGTATCTTGCTGCTGCAGGTCCATAACAGCAACAGCACATCATTACAGTCCTCACCAGCAGTTCCATTATAGGTTCTATTGTGTCCAGCTACTTCTGAAGCGTGATCTCGGTTAGCGTTCTATTACAGACTCTAAGGACCTGGAGATCTTCAGGGCAGGCTACCCTTATGTTCGTCCATATCATCTGCTGCCTTCTGGAACTGGGTGCAGCTTCAGCTCAAGGCTGTAGTTTATTGCAAGTTCATGTGGCAAATGCTCATGTTCTTTACTTTGCAGGCTCAAACAAATAATCCATATTATCACGTATGAACCAGTTTCAGGATCATTCTGTCTGTGAATTGTTATTACAGTGAGAGAAGAAATGTCAACAGTGTTAGTACTTGCTCTAGATATTTGTGTTAGTGCTGTTTATTTTAGTATCGTATTCCTTCTTCAGATACCAGTACAGGAAAAAAAAAAAGGTGCTGGTGAGTGATGATGTATAGAGGGAATGCTTAAAGACTAGTAACAAGGAGAGTGGGACCCACACTTGGCAAAAAGGGGTTCTCACACAGCCATATGTACACAAGGTATCTTCTTCGGTGGAGGAAAAAAATTAGGGTTAAGAGAGGAGTGAGAGGGACCTTTTTGTGGCCGGTGGTTGTGATTTTAACCCTAAGCATTATTGCATGGGAAATTCCTGATATGTCCCTGGCATTTGGTTGTTCTAACACCAGCACCAGGTTACCCCAACTGCTGTGATTTTACACAAATAGCCCCTAATAAAGTGTCACGTACACGCGTATATGACTAGTATATCACATAGCTGTACGCAAGCAAATTACCTCATGGGTGCCTTTGTATGTCTGAAGTGATGTGGGGCCCGCCAGGAGGACATTAGAGCCATTTCCCATATCGAGTGCCCTTGTGCTGGCGTCAAATCTCCAGCTAAAACAGTAATCAGTCGCTTAATCCCCAAATAAATTCGGCAACCATCTTCTTTGCTTTTATATATATACAAAAGTATTTTTGTGAGATAAAGGAAAAAAGGCGGAAATCCCGAGAAAGCCCCTGAGTTAGGGCTGAACCCGTTGTTTGGGGCTGCACTGTTACCGGAATTAATTTGGGGCATCGAATAGGGGCAAAGTTCGAAACTTTTGGAGCAAACAAAAAACAGAGATGGAATAATTTATTTCCCTTTTTACAGGACACACATAACCTGACCTACTCTTTTTCTACTCCTACTGCTGCAGCAGAGCTACATGACCCTTCTCAGCACATTGCCATTGTGTATTGCAAAATTTTGGAGGCTTTGACTAAAAAAGCTTCGTTTTTTCGAGCTTGCTCCTCCCCCGAAATAAAATTCGGGGGCCCAAAAAATTCGCAATTCCGGGGGCACCCGTGGCCTCCAGTCCGCCCGAATTAGCGCGCCTCCCGGAGATGATCCTGCGCCGGTGAGTCCCCAGTCGATCCCTCTCGCTGTCAGCTTCTGGTTGAGGTGCGTCTCGCCGCTGGCCGCGGCCGGCCGCGGCAGATCTGGCGGGCGCCTAGGGTTTGGGTCCGGCCTCGCCGGGAGTCCCCGATTCGTGGCCTCTGGAACCCGTGGCTCCGTTGGGTTAGTTCCTTGTCTTCCTGAGGCTGTGGATCACGCGGATCGAGGCGTTTCTTGGCTCGTTTCTAGCTGGGGTTTGGGAGAGGTGCTCGTCAACTGGTTTCAAGGTGCCTCCTACTCCTAGGGGCTTGGTTTGTTCCTTTCGCTGGGTTTTTTGACTTGCTATTGCGGGTGGGGTTCGTGATTTGTTGACTTGCATAGAAAGACACGATTTTTGTTGTGGGTATTGTTGAAGGAGTTGCTTGATCTGCTTCACTTAGCAGCTGCAGATCAAGGGTGAAATGCGGGGATGCTCGGGGGTTCGAATTTTAGTGAAGTTCCGCGTAGTGGTTCGATGGGAGCACATGCTCTGTCCGAGCTGAAGTTAAATGTCAGTTCTCCGTGAGATAGAACTAGCGATAAGTATTAAGTGAAGCGCTCACTTCTAATTTGCATTGGATCTGAAATGATTATTTCAAACGTGGTAGCTTACTTTTCTGGGACCTTTTCACTCTTCAGTGCTTGTTTGCATGCTCGTTGGTTTCTCACTTCAGTGGATCTCTATGTTTTGTAGTATATACTGTTACGTCATAGTGTTCTTTCATTTTTTTATGTTTTGTCGTTGAGATTTCTAACCTGGATGTACTTGACTGCAGGCCAAAGCAATGAAGATTTCTAATCTGGATGCACACTTAATCTTGTCCAGTTATTGATCTTGGGCTTCGCTGCTCCCGCTCAAGTTAATTTGTTGGCCAATCGAGTCCAGAGGCACAGATGAGTGAGGAGTACAATATGGATGAGGCCCTGAAAGCCAAAAATGTTGCTGAGACCAAGTTCCATGCCCGTGACATCAGGGGTGCTCGGAAGTACGCACTCAAGGCCCAGAATCTCTGCCCGACACTTGAAGGCATATTGCAGATGGTCTCAACGCTTGAAGTTCACCATGCAGCTGAGTCCAAGATTGATGGAGAGAGTGACTGGTATCGGATATTGTCTTTAGGCGCCTTTGCAGATGAAGAGGAGGTGAAGAAGCAATATAGGAAGCTAGCTTTGCTGCTGCACCCAGACAAGAACAAGTCAGTTGGTGCTGAGGAGGCCTTCAAACTGATCTCTGAGGCTTGGAGTGTGTTGTCAGATACTAGCAAGAAGGTTGTTTATGATGAGAAGCGAAGAAACCATTCTGTTGTCAACGTAACCAATGGCATCTATACTTATGATAAGAAGGCAAACAAGAGGGCTCGAAAGAATGCCGCTGCTGCTGCCGCAGCCACCGCAGCCACAGCCGCAGCCGCAGCCGCAGCTGAGGCTACTACTCATCCTGTTGGGGTTGATACATTCTGGACATCTTGCAACCGCTGCCGGATGCAGTATGAGTACCTAAGAATTTATCTTAATCATAACCTGCTGTGCCCAAATTGCCATCATGCATTCTTGGCATTGGAGACTGGGTTCCCTTGCAATGGAAGCAGTTCATCATTCTCCTGGTCAACCAAGCAGCAGCCGCAGCAGAACCACAATTCGACCAAGCATTCATATGGCTCAACAAGCAGGACTTCTAGCATCCCTGGGACAGGGCATGGGGGGTACCAGCAAGATAATACTTATGATTCCTACAACAATCAAGGCTTCCAGTGGAATCAGTACTCCAAGACAACACCTGCAGCTGGTACTAATGCTTATAGTACACAGGCCTTGGAGAAACAGAGAAGGAAGCATGATGAGAGCTACAGCTACAACTATTCTGAAAGCGGCAACACATATGTCCATGAGAAAACTGCTTCAAGGCGTGGTCGCTTCTCAAAGCGGAGAAGGCATAATTATGATGCTTACACTACTGTGGATTATGGTGGTGATAACAAAGAAACAGTTGCCGCAAGCACAGAACCAACTGCTGTTTTCACTGATGTGGGGCGGGTCAATGGTACTTCAGTGGAAAGGTTTAGATCTGCACTGAGTGGAAGAAGAGCAAATATTCTGGGTGAGATTACCCAGATTGATACACGAAGTCTACTTCTTGAGAAAGCCAAGGCAACTGTCTGTGAAAAATTGCAGGAGTTAAACATCACATCATCTTCACGATTTGCAGAGAGAAGAGGATCTGAAGGAAAGCTATATCCTTGTGACAACAACATAAAGGTCAATGGTGTCCTCTCTGACAAACCTGGCAAGGGAGTCAAGCTATGCAACTCAAGAAGCATGGAAATCCATGTGCCTGCTACTGATGACAAGAATCCAGAGCAGCGCCGTGTACCTGTGTCAATTGATGTCCCAGACCCTGACTTCCATGATTTT